TCTCTGGGGTGGAATCTGTCAAGCCTCCAGAGAAGTCTGTGCCTGCTGTGCTGGGCTGTCAGAGGCAACCTCCTCGCTCCAGGAGGTGATGGGGATCCCCACATTCCTAGCCCTCCCTGCTGCCAGGAGTGACCGAGCTGCCTGCACATCCTGCCATCCTTTGGGCCACATGCTACTGTGGACGGCTCTGCTATTCCTCGGTGAGGCAGGGTCCCCAGGAGGGGCAGTGGAGCAGGGACAGAGGCAGGCATGCTTTTCTAACTCAGCTGCTGTCACCTTGGTTGGGGCTGAGCCTGGGCAAGGATGAGGGCTGGGGCGGGAAGCACGTCAGGAAAGTCAGGAGGGTGAATGAAGGCAGGCTGATGAAAATCAGATTCTGATAACCTTGCTGGCCTTGGCAAATTATGAAATTGGCAGAGTTCTTTTTAAAAAATATTTATTTATTTATTTTTGGCGCAGTTGGATCTTTCTTGCTGCAGTGCTTTCTCTAGTTGTGGAGAGCAGGGGCTACTCTTTGTTGTGGTGCGTGGGCTTCTCATTGCGGTGGCTTTTCTTGTTGCAGAGCATGGGCTCTAGGCGTGCGGGCTCAGTAGTTGTGGTGCGTGGGCTCAGTAGTTGTAACTCGCGGACTCCAGAGCACAGGCTCAGTAGTTGTGGCCCACGGGCTTAGTTGCTCCGCGGCATGTGGGATCTTCCTGGACCAGGGCTCAAACCCATGTCCCCTACATTGGCAGGTGGATCCTTAACCACTGCGCCTCCAGGGAAGCCCAGCAGAGTTCATTTTTTTAAAGTCTTTTGCCCAATTTCACTCGGCACCAAAGGTCCCTGGTGCTCTGCCACCCCCCAGAGCAGAGCCAGCTGCGAGCAAAGTCTAGTGACCTAGACTTGAAGGACTAATGAATGGCCAAGGTGTTTACCTTCCTTAGAAATTGTGTTTCACTGGGACCATATCGTAGGTGGGAGGGCTAATGCTGTCTTAGGCAAATAGGAGGTGGGGGGAACACATTGTGGTTGGGGGCAGTGGCTGTTCTCTTTGCTCCTGAAACCACTTCAGGCAGCAGAAGCCTATTCTCTTTATGTGAAAGGAGATTCCCCTGGACAAAAGCACAGGAGGGTGTGGGGTATCCAGGGGATGGGGATCAGAGAATACATAAGCCAGGCAATTCTAGAATCAGTTGTGGGACCAGAGGAATCGTGCATGCCTCCTTGCACTGCACAAACATGGGGATACGTCCTGTCACCGATCAAATAGAAATACAGGATCTTAGGCTGCAATTGAGCGCTCCTTTCTGACCATGTTCTCAGCTGTGAGCTAGGGACCAGGGACTGATAGTGCTGGTGGGTGGAAGAGTCTAGGGAAGACCAAGTAGGGGAGACTTATTGCCAGGAATGTCTCCCCAAGCTCAATTTCTATAGTATCTACCCTCAAATGTGCTTCACTATGGTCCCAGAGGACATGCAGCCACTTTCCAAGTTATGTACTATGATCGATAGTAAAATCTGTTCAGCTCTGGGAGCCTTGGCCCTCAATGCTGGATGATACTGGGACAGGAGGTGGAGGTGGGGAAGAGAGAGTATCCTCCCACGAGCAGGATGAAATGGATTGAAGCAGAACAGCATGAAAAAGGAGCACTGAACTACCTCACTTTTCCTATGCAGAAGCTCAGGCCTGGAGTAGTGGCATGCTTCCCTACCTCTGCTGTAGTGATACCAATGTGATGCCTAGACAAGACTCCTGGGAGAGACTTTTGGAATTTTTATCCATTTGCCCTTTTGCTAAGTCACAAAGATTGACTCCATCTTTTCCATTCTCATCCGGGCCGCCATATTTAGGTCTTCATTGCTCAGTAACTCAATTTTTTCATTTTCCTTTTCTTTTTTTTTTGTTTGGGGTACGCGGGCCTCTCACTGTTGTAGCCTCTCCCATTGCGGAGCACAGGCTCCGTACGCGCAGGCTCAGCGGCCATGGCTCACGGGCGCAGCCACTCCGCGGCATGTGGGATCCTCCCGGACCGGGGCACGAACCCGTGTCCCCTGCATCGGCAGGCGGACCCTCAACCACTGTGCCACCAGAGAAGCCCAGTAACTCAATTTTTACACCACGTTCTGATCCAGTCTTGACTGTCCTGTTTCCTGTTCTCCGAATCCATGCTGCACACTGAGGCCATGATTTCTTCAACTACAGTTATGGCTGAGTCACTGTACTTCATAAATGCCTTCAGTGCAGCTCCATTGCCTACTTTATAAAGCTCCAATTCTACTCTTAAAAGTAGATTTTCATCTAGAGCCAGGGAGTGTGTACACACATTCTCTGCTTTCCAGGATTCCACCAACTGCCTTGTTTAAACATTAAATAAATGCTCTGTGCAGGCTCTGTTCTAGCACTTGGAGATTTATCACTGAACAAGAGAGACAGCCTTCCTGACCTAAAGCACAAGGTCTTTGCCTCCCTCACAGTGACAGTATTATACTGAGTATGAACATCTTTAGTATTCAGTAATATTTGTTGGATGAATAAATGGAAGGTGCCTTCTCTCTACTTTTCTCGTCTCTTACTTGTTTCTTCTCTTCCTCCTCCTCTTAGTCCTGCTTCTTTGCCCATTGCCCGCACTGCCACATTGTCACCCCTGCACACTCTACTTTTCAGCTATCACTTCTGTGTCAATAATTTCCAAACCTATCTTTCTTGTTTGTGTCAAGTACAATTTCATATTTCCACCTGCTGGTTGGAGACCTCCAAATTGATTTGTCAGCTCAGAAACAAAACACGTTCAAAATCCAGCTCTCATCTTCCCCTCACAAATGTTCTTCTCCTCCTAACATTTATATTTGTGTGAGCACAGCTAATGTTTTTCCTAGTCACCCATTTACAAGACCCCCATATCTCTTCAAGTGCCAAGTTCTCTCTCCCTCTTAAATTTCTCTCATGCCCGTGTCCTCATCTTTACGTTCTATTGTCAACGCAATTTTGGGCTCTCTTATCTCCCACCTAGATGGACTCAATGAATGATTTCCAGAGCATTGGCAAATAAAATTAATATGGCCACTGCCCTCTTTGAGCTTACATTCTACTGAGGGATAGAAACAGTAAATAAAGGAACACAAATGCATAAATATGAACTGGAAAATGGCAATGAAACTGTAAACAGGATACTCTGATAAGAACACTTGTTGCGGGGGACATGAGAGAACAGCCTACATTAACAGGATGATATGGCAAGAATTTTCTGAGGAAGTGTCTTTTAAGCTAGGACCTGAAGCATGATAAGAATTAAGCCATTTGAAGATACAAAGGAAGCAGGTTTAAAGTAGAGGGCTTAAAGTAGAAAAGCCCCAAGTTTGAAGAGGTCTGGTGTTATTGGAGCTCAATGAGTAGGGGAAGTGTGGCTCGAGATGAGGCTGGACAGGTGAGCAGGGCTTGTGTCAGGTGTGGCCTTGTAAATATTTACATTTTATTTTCAGAGCAAAGGAAGAGCACTGAAGGCATGTAAGCAGGAGAGTGATATTATCTGATTTGTTATTTTAAAAATAACTCTAGCTTCTCTGTGGGGAATGAATTGTCGGGGGAGCAAAATAAGGGAAGAGATAAGTTAGGAGATGGGAGAAAGCTGCTGGTGACCTAAAATAGTGTGGACATGGACTGAAGCTGACACATTCAAGAACTAACTGGAAGCAGTATGATCACGACTTTACTGGTGCAAAGGCTGATGGGGTTTGGGAGAGAGAGAGGAATAAAAGAGGACTTGCAGTTTTCAGGCACGAGTACCTGGGCAGATGGTGAAGGTATACACTTATATGGGGGAACCTGGGAGAGAAATAGAACTGTGTCCACTTGATTTGACATTGAGATCATTGGTGATTTTAACAAGAAAAGTTTTAGTGGACTGGTGAGGGCAGAGTTCAAATTGCAGAGAATGAAACAGTGATTGGAAAGAGAAGAAATGACGACAGCCTTTGTAGAAAAAGAATTGAGAAATCAGGCTGGGAAAGGGAGCAGAAAAATAATTTTGGAATTATGTGTGGTGTCAAGTGAGATTTTTTCCTTTCAGTGAAAGATCCTGGAATATATTTATGTTGATAGGAAAGGTCCAGCTGAGATCGAGAAATGGGTGAGGCAGAGGAGAAAGGGAATAACAGAGAGAGGAAAATCCTTGCGCGGGTGAAAGGGAATGTGACCTAGGACAGAGACTGACCACAGATAGGAGGAGAGATGTCCCCAGTGAAAACCAAGAAAGGAAGATGGATAGAGATGCAATAGGTTAGATGATTTAGTTGGGGGAAGACGTGAGACCTCCTGTCTAACTGCGTTTGTTTTCTCTGTGAAGGATAAAGGAAGGCATCATCTTTGAGTGAGACGGGACTGGAGGCAGAGGACTGGACAGTTTGAGGAGTGAGGAAAAAATGATTGTCCCTACCAAGAGCCGCAGAGCAAACGTACTAGAGAAAAGTGTCAGAACAGCAGTTTAGTGTCCTTTTGAATATGGAGACAGTAGATTTACAGAGATGCCAACCTGCCTGCTTATGTGGGAATTTCATTAACACACAGCTGCAGAAGTAAAGGCATGGACAACCCAGGTGGAACGTAATGCAGACAGAGACTGGCAAGAGAGTTAAGGGGATTTGCAAGGAGGTGATTATTTATAATGATGAATCATCATATCTAATGAGAAAGTAGGCTGATCTTTGCTTTCTCCCTTACAGCTCCTGTTGCTGGGAAACATGGTAAGTGCTCACCACATCCTCTCCCTCCCCCAGCTACCCTCTCTCTCTGCTCCCTGCACCATCTCTGGAGGTGCTCTGGGTGCACCAGCAACCCAGGACTGAGGTAGAACCGGGAAAGAGTAATTGCTCCCACAAGATGCCCTGCCCCCTTCTCCTTCCTCCTTCCCTTCCTCCCAGGGAAGCCAGGGATGGGCAGCCACAGGGCACAGCCTTTCTGTTTCTGTTCCAGTGAGACCTCACATATTCTGTCACAGAAAATAACTGTCTTCTGTCTCAGTTGCCTTCCTCTCTCCAAACTAAATCACGAACCCAGGCCATTTTAGTTTCAGCCACATGCAAAATCACACGATTTGCTTAGGTTAACCCCATGGGTTGATAAATCCTCTACTTTGCATGTATCTGAAGGCTTCAGGGCCTGTTGCCTTGGACACAAATAGGAGATACCACTGGTTGCAGCTTGGTGGGATGAACACGGCTGGGCACTGCTTTCTCTGCACCACTAACCTCTCCACCTCCCAGGACTGGTAGTGGGATGGGGCTCTACATGGGCCACTGAATGCAGGGCTCCCTAGACTGGCCTGCCAGCCTTTCTCCTCTTTCTTATTCTTCTGAGGCCACAGAGACTCCTCTGTGCTTGGGTGTCAGGACAGGTCTATTCTAAAGGAGAAAGAATGGGGACTTCCCTGGTGGTCCAGTGGTAAAGAATCTGCCTTACAATGCTAGGGGACGCAGGTTTGATCCCTGGTCAGGGAACTAAGATTCCCACATGCTGTAGGGCAACTAAGCCCACACAACTAGAGCCCACAGGCCACAAACTACAGAGCCCACCTGCCCTGGAGCCTGCGTGCCACAACTAGAGAAGAGAGAACCCACACGCCATAACTAGAAAGAAGCCGGCGCACCACAACGAAAGATCCCACGCTGCAACAAATATCCCTCATGCTGCAACTAAGACCCGACACAACCAAAAAAATAATAAATATATCATTTTTTTTTGTGCTGACTTCTTCCATTCTTTTTTAAAAGATGTATTTATTTCTTTTTATTTAGAAATAAATACATCTTAAGGAAAAAAGAAACTAATAAGCTGCTATATAAAAAATAAATAAAATTCTAAAATTAAAAAAATAATACACTGTAAGGATACATTGTACAACAGGATATAGCCAATATTTTATAAAAACTATAAATGGAGTATAACCTTTAAAAATTGTGAATCACTTTATTGTATACCTGTAACTTATATAATATTGCACAGCAACTATATGAATAAAAATTTTTATTCCAAAGAAAAAAAGAAAGAATGGAAGAAGTCAGAACAGAAACGTGGTTTCTGACTCTCAGCCTGGCACCTCCACCAGATGTCCCCATTTGTCTTCTTCCAGCTGTGGAGAGAGTTTATCCACTAGTGTCCAAATGCCTCAGCTTACAGGGGAGGAAAGTGATTCCCCAAAGGATGTATGTGTAGTGTGTGTGTGTGTGTGTGTGTGCGTGTGCGTGTGCGTGTGTGTTTGCTTGCCCCCTCTCCCATTCCCCTACCTCTTGTCCTCTCCCCTGGGGAGGAGGCAAGCTCCCTGAGAGAACCTGGGTTCCTGGGGGCCCCTGTTTGGGCTGCATGAGTTGGAGGAACTGCCTTTGGTTGCACAAGAGTTCTGGGTTGGGTTCCCCTCTTGATGTCTCCAGCATGGCCACAGTTTTCCATCATCTGAGATTTGGGGTCTGCTTAGGCCCTTGGGGTCCCTTTCCTCACGCTGCCTTCTCTCTCTGCCCCTCAGCAGGTCTCCCGAAGGCTGTGGTGAACATTCAGCCTGCGTGGATCAATGTGCTCAAGGAGGATTACGTGACGCTGATGTGTCAGGGGACCAACCTGTGTGAAGGCAACCTCACCCTGTGGTTCCATAATGGGAGCTTCATCCAGAGCCAGAACCAGTCCAGCTATAGCTTTAAGGCCAGCAGCAATGACAGTGGAGACTACAGGTGTCAGAGAGAGCAGACCAGCCTCAGCGACCCTGTGCATCTGTATGTGACTTCCGGTCAGTGGAGGAAGGCCTGGGAGAGTCTGGGAGAACAAGGATAGAAGAAATCTGCTTACATGGCAGAGGTTTTCCGGAAAGGGGAATTGCCTGCTTACTGGGAAGCATGGCTGTGAGTTGTTTGAAGGGGTTTTTGTCCACTGATTTCCCTTTTCACGCACCCCATTGCTTAGTACGTGTGGTGAGGTGGAAGTTCCTAAGAGATTTCTCAGAATATGCTGGGCACTGTTGTCTCGGTGCTGACTGGGCAAGAAGGTAACAAGGCCACTGACAGGCAGGTGGGTATGAGAGAAGCAGAAGGAAATCCCTACTTCATAGAAATCCTTCCATTTTTATGGCAGAGTCAAATGCACAGACAGACCACAGCTGAATCCTAGCCCTGGAAATTATAGCCATGTAAACATGATGATTTCATTTACCTTTGAGCTTCAAGTTCCTTATCTGCTCAGTGGAGATACTCTGCCTCCCCCATCAGGTCCCGGTGAGAATCAGCATTTCCCTGCCCCCCTGCCCTCTGTGCAACTTGAGGTGAAAGTTGTTTCTTTCTTCCTTTTTTTTTTTTTTCGGTACGTGGGCCTCTCACTGTTGCAGCCTCTCCTGTTGCAGAGCACAGGCTCCGGATGCGCAGGCTCAGCGGCCATGGCTCACGGGCCCAGCCGCTCCGTGGCATGTGGGATCTTCCCGGACCGGGGCACGAACCCATGTCCCCTGCCTCGGCAGGCGGACTCTCAACCACTGCACCACCAGGGAAGCCCGAAAGTTGTTTCTTAACCACTTTCTATATCCAGCCCCAGGCACGGGACCGGGCTTAATAAATGTTTGCTGAGCAGATCAATGATCCTCCAAAGGTCCTGGCAGGAAATACGTTCTCCACAGAGAAAAGCTGCAGTGTGATTACGATGAATATTGTCAGTGCTGTTCTTCACTTCGTCCCCTTCCCTCACCCAGTTCTCAAATTCTCCTCAAAGGTATCTAGGCCTCTCCCAGGCCTCTAGCCAGGCCCTAGCTGTGGCTCAGGCTCTCTGTAGGGCCTCAGGCCAGTTCTTTAGCCTTAGTCCAGCTGGTGGGGGCAGTGGGAAGAGCATTCGAAGGTACATGGGTCCAGGCAGAAGTGACCACCCACCTGGGCCTTTGGGTCAGCGGCCCTCCTCAGGAACAGGTGGTGCTTGGAGCCGTCCCAGGAAAGGCACAGGAGTGGTGGAGCCCTTGCCTGCATCCCAAACATGGACCCTGCTGCAGCTCCTCTGCCATCACCCATGCTGAGATCCAGGGCAAGTGCCACGGGGGTCAAGAGGACTCTAGCTGGGGTTCAGAGAATTCCAGTCATGGTAAAGAACTCTCTCCAATGTCCCTGGGCCTTTATCGGTGAGAGCTGGACATGGGGAATGTGACCCAGGAACCTCCATACAGCTGTGCCTACACCAGCATTCATGGCATCAACCCTGTGTTCCTGTCCAGTAATCTTAGCCACTGGAGTGCAGAGGAGGTGTATGAGTTTGTTGCTTCTCTACAAGGCTTCCAGGAGATTGCAGAGGAGTTTTGTTCCCAGGAGATGGATGGAAAGGCCCTTTTTTGACTTAAAGAACACCTCGTGAGTGCCGTGAACATGAAGCTGGGCCCTGCCCTCAAGATCTGCACCAAGAAATTGTCCTCGAGGAGACCTAAGGTGGCCCTCGTGCACAAACCAGCCTAAGGCTGACACTTCCACTGTCCAGGTTACAACCTGGTACCAGTAGAGACTTTGCTGAGACGAAAGTGCTGTTCTAATGATGTGTACCTTCAGTGGAGGGGATTTTACCCAGACAGGGAGGAGAAGTGCAAGAATTGGTTGCTGGTGCTATACGGAAGCGGCTTTGACATTTTCTCCGGGTTCTACGTATCTGTTGTTTTCTACCCTTTCGTTCCAATTCCAACTCTGCTCTGTCCTATAGCTTTAGGAAAAAGGAGTGTGTGGGCTGAGGTCAGATTATAAGTACCCACCTTAGCCTCTATTCCCTATACGACAAAGAAAGTAAATATCTTTTTCCTCAGTAAAAGGATGAAAATCGGGGGGAAAGTACACAGCAGGCTAATGGCCCACCCGTGTCACTGCTGCCAAAGTTCCTGCTGAAGTGAAATTCCACATTTACTAACGTGCACCAAATAGGCTAGTATTTGTTAGATGTCCGTGACTTTCCCCAAAGACAGCTGACTCTGCTGTGTTCCCCCCACGTGTTGTCTCCTATGTCAGACTGGGTCCCTCCCTCCCTCCCTCCCTCCCTCAGGGAAGGGACTGTACTCCTGGGTCTCCTGTGTCCTTCCTGCAGAAAGAAGCCTGTTGGGCAGGACAGGAACAGGAAGACAAGCATATCCTGAGCACCTACTATGTGCCAGGAACTACTGTAGATAGCTAATGGGATTATTGTGACTCTTTTCACATACGAGGAAACGGAGGCCCAGAAGAGTTAAACTATTTGCCCAAGATCACAGAACTCATACATGATGGAGCTAGAATTACAGAGCAAGGGTGTCTGATTCCAAACTTAAGCTCTTCCCTCCACACACAGTGGCCCACCAGTAAGGATGGTCTGGGTCTCGGATTTGAGTCAAGACCTCCTGGGTCCTGGGGTCCCTTTGTGTCTTTCAGACTGGCTGCTGCTCCAGACCCCTAGCCTCGTGTTCCAGGAAGGGGAGCCCATCGTGCTGAGGTGCCACAGCTGGAGAAACAGTCCTCTGAATAAGGTCATATTCTTCCAGAATGGAAGATCCAAGACGTTTTCCCATCTGCATTCCAACTTCTCTATCCCGCAAGCAAACCTCAGTCACAGTGGCGAGTACCACTGCACGGGATTTATCGGGCATACAGTTCACTCATCACAGCCTGTGACCATCACTGTCCAAGGTGGGAACTCTGTGCAGATGAAAGGAGGGGAGAAGAGGGGTTAGACATTTAGGGGTAAGGTCACATGGACCTACAGGGAGATCTGAGCAAACCTGGGCTCTGGGGCAAAGGGCAGGGGCATGGCACCTTGCTAAGTGCTGGCCAGAGCTCGGAGCCCTCAGTTTCCAGGTGATAGGTGACAAGGCTGTTGTTCCTCTTTGAAATATAGGCCCCATCACACCAAGCCCAGCAGTGGAACAGAGCTCTCTCACTGGTGCAGAAGTTCTCTAAGCGCCTGGACATTCCTAAGAGCTGAGGTTTTCCTAATTTCTTCTCATGTCTCATGATATGTCCATTCACTCTCAAAGGCATGGCATGTCCTTGACAGTTCAAGGCTCTGCTGGGTACAGTGGTGGAGGCGTCAGGTTCACCCTCCCTGCCATCCCCGAGGGCTAAGAGGAACCCTTCCCTCTGCCTTACACACTCAACAGCGTGCCTTCATTAGATTAGCAGAGAAACGTGGGTATGGGAGAGGCACAAGCCCAGTTCCAGAAATCCTGTGCAGGTGAGGTGGAGGGGGGAAGTGAGTGTTGTGTTGGAGGAGGGACAGGACGCCTGTGTTTCCCAGGGTCCAGCTTGAGCAACTCCTTGTTGGTGACGATAACGGTGGCTGTAGTCGCTTGGATTGCTGCAATGGCTGTTGCTGGTGCCATAGTCGCCTGGTTCTGCCTCAGGCGAAAGAAGATTTCAGGTTTGTGCCTCCCCTCGGTCCCTCTTGTTATCAGTTCCTACTTAGTCAAGGCCCTAACCCCAAACATTGCTAGAACCCTTATCTTTGGGCTAGAGAATCCTTAGCATTCAAATATAGTCCCATATTTTATTCATTCATTCATTTAACAGGCCTGAACAAACTTGCTTATGTGTCAAGCACTGTGATAGACTCTGTGGATGATGCCAGGATAAAGATGTTCAGTCTCTGCCCTCAGGGAGTTCATAATATTGTGGGGAAGACTGAAATGCAAATAGACCAGTATAATTAGAGGGGATAAGACCAGTATTAGAGAATGCAAAGGCTGTGACGGGGGACAGAAGAGCTGGCGCAACCCAGCATGGGCCGGGGCAGTTAGAGAAGGCTTCACAGGAATGCAGTGTTGTGTCGTGACTGAAGCACACCTGGTGGGGCCAGACTACCTGAGTTTAAATCCCAGCTCCTCGGCTCACCAGCTGGATAACGTTGGGTGAGTTATGCAATATGTTGAGAAGATGGAGTTGGTGTATTAATTTAAGAATATGCAGATCATGACCTGCTGAAAGAGGAGGCACAAGCCGCCCACATGGGCTTGGCAGCTCCCTCAGTGTCTGATTTCACTTCCCAGATTGGGGAAGTGAAAACCCCGGGGTCATTTTGATTGAAAGTACAGTTTTGGTACACTCACACAAAGGAAGTAGAGTCACAAGACTTGCTACTTACAGATCCCAGAAATGGGAAAGGGGGTGGCAGTCCTCTGTCCCTGGTCATGGGTGAGCAGGAGAGAGAGAGCAGTGTAGCAAGCAGCTACTACTTATAAAGTGATTGGGGCGGAGGACACTGTTTTGCGGGCTTAACTCTAAGTGGTTATTTTAAAAGGCGCCCCAGGAAAAGCAAAGCGAAAACTTATGGCGGGAGTCCTAAACTCAAGTCCTTCTCTCAAACGTTCCGATTCTGGGTGTAAGCAGGTTATCATACTGTAAAATGCCTAGGCAGCAGCTCAGGAAAACAAAGTTGTTTTTTCAGGAAAATAAAAGTTGTTTTTCTCATCACATTCAACTTCTCTGTGCCTCAGTTTCTTCATCTGAAAAATGAGGCCACGAATAGAACCTACCCCACAGGGTTATGAGGGTGAATGAGTCGGCAGCTAGCAGACAGCAAACATCACATAGTATGAGTTGTTATCGTTACGGAGGAGGTGATGTTTGAGGGTAGCAGTTAACCAGGCAAAGAGGATTAGAAGAGCATTCCAGGTGTGGGGGCCAAGACATGGAAATGAGAAGCATTGTGGCTAGGATGGGGATCATGGAAGAGTAAGGAGGTTGCTGTAGACAGTTTGATGCCATTGAAGCCATAAATTACGAGGCAGAGAAAAAGGAGAGATGAAGCAGGGCAGAAGGATGTATTCCAGGTCATGGAATCCACGTAGGCTACCTTTGAAGAACTAAGCTGTATTCCAAAGGGGTTGGCAAGAGCACAGGAGGGCAGCAACCACGTCTCCTTGTTCTGCACTCTCCCCCGTCCGCCCCCCGCCAGCACCTAGCACATGCTTGCCACGCAGCAAGCTGGTCAATAAACATTTGTTCACTGACTGATCAGCTGAAGAACTTCAACTCTCGGAAAGCAGCCTCCTTCCCCCTTAGTACTAACGTAAAAGAGCCGAGAGAGAAGGGAAGGTGTCCTACAAATCTAATAAGCAAATGGTCACGATTCATAACACTGAAAAGCTAGCTTGCTGGTGAGAGAAAGCGCTAAAGATATCCAGATACAGAGAAAGTAAAAGGGAGAAAAGACTCAGAGCCATTGTCAAAGAGAAAATAATACTGATACCTCACAAAGCACTTTGCAGTTGGTTCATAGCCAAGACCTCAGTTACTGGTGATAAGTAAATGTAGAGATTCAGGGAGAGACACCGAGAGGGAGAAAGAGGTGTTCTTTAAAAGGCAGAGCAAGCTTAAGAAAGATGCAATAGAATGGCCTTTCTGACAGTCCCAGGAGTCCCTACTGTTAACCTAGCCAACTTACATCTCTCTAGACCAGCCCTTGTACAGGCTAGAGCAATCCCTGGGGAGTGGGGAGGAGAGGAGGTGTCTGTGTGGAAGAAGGATGTGTGTTGCTTCTAACCCAATCTTGCCTCTGGTCGTCCTTGGTCCTGAAGACTCAGGTCCTACCCCATAATCCTACTAACCTCCTATGTGCCCCTCCTAGCTCTCCCAGGAACCCTTGAGCACAGGGAAATGGGAGAGACCCTCCCTGAGGAACCAGGTGAGTGCAGCTCCCCCTCTGGGGGCTCAATGACACCCTGCCTTGTGCATCAAGAAGCTGCTTGTGTGAGTTCTGCTGGGAGCACAGGAGAGGGAGGGGGCAGTGGGCAGAGGGCAGGGGCTCAAATCTCTTGGTCAGTTCTGAGACTAACTCCTGGGCCTAAAGAGGACCTCACTGGAGACAAGGAGAAGATGAAACCTGTCCCAGATAGAGAGGCGAGGGCCTTGTCCGAGTTTCTGGGGTCAGAACTGCTGGGGATTCTTCCAGAGCAGGACATCAGAGATACTTAGGTCTTTCTGTGGAGCTTTGGAAGAGCTGGCAGAGGACTGGGGTTAGACGCTGTAAGACTAAGGCAAATAGAATTAAGGGGATAAAATTCTAGAGGAAAGGAGAAAGAGCCCTAAGGAATAAAACCTAGATTTGCTGCAGAGTCTGTCTCTGTGGAATGATTGGGTAAGGGTAACAGGGCTCAGCTCTTAGTGAAACATTAAGAGGAGATTTCGGCCTGAGAAAGTTCTGGGGTACCACGTGCCTTAGTGGGCTTTACTCTGTGGGCAAATCTTGGTTCTACTGCCCACTCGTGTAGGCTTATTAAAACGCAGGCCTGGCCCTAGCTCTGTCACTATCATAAAATGGAGTCTTGAGTGTCATTCCCCCTCTTGGGGTTTAGTCAGCTCATTGAGGAGATGAGTGGGTTGGCCTGGGTGATCTCTAAGCCCTTCCAGGCCTGACATTCTGAGAGTCAGTGACCATCCAAGCCCTGGCCCAAGTGGGAATGTGTTAAAGGAGCAGTAATATTCCAGGCGACTTCCTGACTGCAGTTAAAGCCAGAGCACGAAGGAAACTGGAGCTTTCTCTGGGGACTCCCAGACAGCAGAAACGGACAGGAAAAAGAAGCCCTCGAGGACTCCACCTCAGATGGCCGGAGTATGACTCACAGCAGAGCCAACAGGTTTGAGAGCTTGAGCAAAATGGCACAGCTGTCCGGCTGCGCTTTGAGCAAGGCCCCTATGTCCTGTGGCCAGGCCAAATGGGGATATGGACCAGAGTCTTCACCAGGGCCAAAGTGCTGTAGAAAAAAGTGCAAACACAAGTGGATTAGCCATTTTGATGTTTGCTTCTACCTACACTGGCATAAATATATTTCACAAGGCATTTATTTCGCAGGAAGGCATTGGGGCTGATGGTTTCCCAAAAGGCACAGCTAAGTTGCCGGGATGGTTGAGGGATGCATTAGAAGGAGAATTCAGGACGTGGTTTGTTCCAGAAGCTGGAGCATGGCACACAGGGACTCATTGTGTCCTGGAGATGAATGAAGACACTAGATGCATTGTCTCAGACTCCCTCCCCACTTCCTGAGGAATGCTGCTTTGCAGTTACTGAGGCTGCTTTTCGCACTGGCAAAGTGAGTTTATTGGCAAAAACATGAGGACATTTGGATGTGTTTTAGATCTTTACCAGGGAGAGTACTGGCTGGGTTGCTTGCTTCCTTCTTTCTTTTCCTCCAGCCTCCCTTGCTCACTCTCACCCTAGCGCTTTCTTTCTTTATGAGATCAGGGAGTGTCAGATTCTTCAAAGTTCCAACAGAGATATACTACATCTGGCCAATGTGGAAAGGCCGCCATCTGTGGCTGGCAAACATCTGGATTACTTCACTCTAATACCAACACCCCCATCTCCTCCCCAGTATATCTCAGATCCCCGAAGCTGCCTGGTTGCTTTGAGGAAAACTCAGTGATCCTCTGAAATGAGTGCAGCACAAATGAGCGCCTCCCTCTGCTGGTGTGGCCCGTGCGGGAGGCCATGTCTGGGATACCAAGGGTGGGTGGGGGATGAAGCTTTTGGCCTGCAGGCCTGAGTTGGGGATCAGTGGTCCTCGCCTCAAGCCTGGTCTGGGCCTCAAGCAGCAGCGCGGGTAGGCAGTGCCCCCGCTGATCTCTGTTCTTTTTGCCCACAGCCAATCTCACTGATGCTGAAGAGGCTGCCAAAATGGAGGTGAGCCATCCCAGCCACATGCTTCTCCTTCTCCTTCTCCCCTGCCGCTTCTTCTGTTGCCTTCATTCTTGTGACCTCTCTGTGGATCCCCATTGCTCCTTTCTGCTTTCTCTAGGCTGAGAATACAGTCACCTATTCACTTCTCTCGTATCCGGAAGTTGCAGAGGAAGAAACAGAGTCGTCGGATTACCAGAACCACATTTAGTTTTCATTGTCTTGCCTGGGACTTGGGGAAGAGAATCAGAGAGGCCAAGATCTGGTGTCTTCTGTCCTGAATTCCTCTGAAGGAGGAGAAGAGGATGCTGCAGTTCTAAAGGAGAATGACTCTTCCAGAGTTATCTATGTGAATCCTAAAGCTCCCTGTTTTGAAAGCCACAGACGATATGGTCTCAGATAACTGAATGCCGATTTCTTCTGTGCTTCAGCACTTCTCGCCATCAGGACTCTTCTGTTATACATCCACAAAGCCAGTGAAAATTACCTTTATTAAGAGATTGTAGAAACATGGGAAATGCTTATGTTACAGGTTACATGAGAAAAATTAGATAAGTGTGTATGATTTCAAAAATGTTGAGATAGACTAACATATGCCAATATATTAAAAGTGATTGTTTCAGGGTGGTGGAATTATTGGTGCTTTTCATTTTCTCTGTTAATTTTTCTGTACAGATCATATATTACTTTTATAATAAAATACTACACTAACAACATTACCTTTTAAACACTGTACCGGTTGGAGTGTAGACTGATTCGGGGTCTGTTTCTTTTCAATGGTAAGAATCTTGGGAAGGTAGTAATGGGTAGGAAGTGAGGGAGAGAAAAGATTTGGAGTGTAGGACGAGTACCCCTCTTCTAAACTGAATATCCGTCTTCCAATGAATTTGTGTTCTTGTTTTCATGTCTCCTTCCCCTTCCTCCCATGACAAATAAACACCAGTTCTCAGGAAGCCAAATTTCAGATGAGTCCTCAGTGGAGACTGCTGACTCTGCCCTGCTGTTCTCCTATTATAGTTAACAGAAGGATGTGAACTTCTCAGAGAAGTTCCCGGTAGGTTAGAAACGTGACTGACAGCTTCGTTGGGAGTTTGGTTGGTGCCCTTGGAGAGGGCTCCTTTTCCTGGGACTCTAAGAGCTTCAGTGTGCAACATTCTTGCAATCAGGATTTAGTAGCTTCCTTTGTTGGGTAGTTTCCATAGCTTTCTATAATACTCACATATTGTATTTCATACTCACACATCGTTATAATAATAAGGAATAGTAATTGCAATTACTGGGTTATTGAGGGGCTTACTTTATGCCAAACTACATGCTTTAGAATTAGAGCGTTTAAGAGTATTAGCCATTCATAGTTCTTCTTTTGCGATTTTCTTGCTCACATACTCATGCCCATTTTTATAGTAACCATGTATGTCCCTTTATTTATACATTACATGGTAGCAACTTATTTATAAGTAAATTATTTTACTCTGCTAATTTTTAAAATAAAATTAAAATACAGATAAGCAAAAAAGATAACTAAGATTACCTATAAATTCACAAATCAGAAAGAATCAATGCTAAGTGTTTTTTTTGGTTTTAATACTTTTTTATTGAAGTATAGTTGATTTACAATATTGTGTTAATTTCTGCTGTACAGCAAAGTGATTCTGTTATACATATATATACATTCCTTTTTAAATATTTTTTTCCATTATGGTTTATCATAGGATATTGAATATCGGTCTCTGTGCTATACAGTAGGACCTTGTTGTTTATCCATTCTGTATATAAAAGCTTGCATCTAATGCTAAGGTTTAAAAGATGTCAATCCACATTCCTGTCTATAGCAATATGTATAAGCATATGGATCACATTAGATTTTTACACATAGGCAAAAACTCATACTCATTGTGAGCATGAAAACTCAAATAATACAGAAATATAAAGAGGAAAATTGAGAGTTCCATTTTGTCCTTGCCCCCCCATCCCCATTCTGTTCTCCCTTCAGTGGGTAACCACTGTCGAACATTTGGAGTATATTTGTTTTTTTTTTTTTTGATACGCATCTAATACATATTTATAGTTTTTTTAAGACCATAAATGGGATCACACTTTACATATGCTTATGCATTTGGGTTATTTTGATTAATAGTTTATTATGGAGCTCTTCCATGGAAGTATTTTTTAAGGTTTATATAGTATTCTATAGAACAATTTCTATGCCATATTTTATTTAACCAACATTTTAAATATTAGCACTTTTTCATTGTTATACACAATACTTCAATGACCAACATTCTTGGATGATTATTTTGACTACACGTGTATTTCTGCAGGATAAATTCCTAGCAGTAGAATCAGTAGATCAAAGGATACTCTCATATTATCTTTAAGAAAGCAGTTTACATGTCCTCCCAAAGGAGGACATATTAGGGTACCCATTTCCTGACCCCCTTGTCAATGTTGAGTGTTTTTAATTTTTGCCAATCCAATTATAATGGACTGTGTTCCTATCCAGCATGAACTTCCCCTGATTCCAGTAACAGAGCCTGATTTCCCTTTGACTAAATAGCTCTACCTCCCCTCAGTCCAAGTGGGTAGGTGGGCTGACTTCATGCCTGATTTTAGAGGAGAACATGCGCCCCAAACTGGGTCAATCAGGAGCTGTTTCCCTGGAATTTAAATCTTGAGCAGAGTGACACTATGACTGAAAACAAGTGAAGTTCATTCATCCCAGTAGCACTGCCCAGATGGGACTAACTTCCTACAGCCCTGAATTGGCCCTATTTCTTACAGTTTCTAAGATCCTTCAACTTCCTTTTATATCAGTTAATTTAGATTTGATAGAATTCTCCTATAATATCCTATGGGCTTGATACCTTTTTTAGGATAGACCTTTGACAAACTTTTTTTCCTGTCATTATTTGTCTGATCAAGCTTTTCTAACTCTTTTGGAGTCAATTTTGAAAAATGTTACTTTCCTAGAAAATCATCCATTTTATTGGTATGCAGCTGTACACTGTATTTTCTTCTATTTTTTGGTAATAATTTGCGTCTGTACTTACATCCCCCCTCTCGTACCTAACTTTTGGGCTTGCTTGCTTTTCTGTCAGATGATTTCCGCTGGAAATAACAGGAAATCTGATTCAACTTGGCTTAAACAATAAGGAAATGTATTATCTCACACAACAAAAAGTTCAGAGACAGGGTGTCTCCAGTGCATCAGGACTCTGGATCCGCTTTTCTACAATCCTTTGGGCATTGCCCTTGGCCTAGCAGCATGATGATTATAGCAGTTCCAGGCATCACTCCCAAAGATCTATAGGAAGAAGGGACTAACTCTCTCTTCTATGTGTCTCTTTCTTAAGAGTGAGAAAACCTTTCTCCAGCAATCTTCCCATCACATCATATTGGTCAGGAATGGGTCACATGTCCATTTCTAAATCAATCACTAGAGGGGGAATAACCTACTTTAGCTTAATCATTTTGAGGTGGAATACTTTTTTGAAGAGTCAACCACCTTGACCATTATATCTGTTTACCTTAATCAGGCTTGCCAAATGTTTGTCTGTCTTTTTTGGTCTTGTCACAGCTTTGGACTTAATGATCAAGTCTTTGCCTTTTGTTTGTTTTCTTTTCTTTTTCTTTATTTCTTTTTTCTTTTTTTGGCCACACTGTGTGGCATGCAGGATCTTACTTTCCCAACCAGGGGAAGGTGGAGTCCCCTGCAGTGGAAGGCGCCCCCTGCAGTGGAAGGTGGAGTCTTAACCACTGGACCACCAGGGAAGTCCCCTTTTTGTTTGTTTTCTAATGTAGTATTTCTTTCTTCTACTTTCTTTCTTTATTTTTAAAATATTTATTTATTTTCTTTATCTATTTTATTTTAGTTTTTTTGGCTGCATCCGGTCTTAGATATACATGGCATGCAAGATCTTTCCTTGTGGTGTGTGGGCTCTTCGTTGCAGTGTGCGGGCTTCTCTCTAGTTGTGGTGTGCAGGTTTTCTCTCTCTAGTTGTGGTGTGCAGGCTCCAGGACGTGTGGGTTCTGTACTTTGTGTCATGCAGGCTCTCTTGCTGAGGTGTGCGAGCTCAGTAGTTGTGGCGCACGGGCTTAGTTGCCCCACAGTATGTGGGATCTTAGTTCCTCGACCAGGGATTGAACTGGCATCCCCTGAATTGGAAGGAGGATTCTTTACTAGTGGGCCACCAGGGAAGTCCCTCTTCTACTTTATTTGGATTTACTGTATTATTCATTTATTTCTAGACTTCTAATTTTAAACAAATTCACAAAAGGCTATAACTTTTCCCAATATTGCTATTTTGGATAGCAATATCTGTTAGATTTTTTTTTTAACACCTTTATTGCAGTATAATTGCTTTACAATGGTGTGTTAGTTTCTGCTTTATAACAAAGTAAATCAGTTATACACATACATACGTTCCCATATCTCTTCCCTCTTGCGTCTCCCTCCCTCCCACCCTCCCTATCCCACACCTCTAGGTGGTCACAAAGCACCGAGCTGAACTCCCTGTGCTATGTGACTGCTTCCCACTAGCTATCTACCTTACGTTTGGTAGTGTATATATGCCCATGCCACTCTCACTCTGTCACAGCTTACCCTTCCCCCTCCCCATATCCTCAAGTCCATTCTCTAGTAGGTCTGTGTCTTTATTCCCGTCTTACCCCTAGGTTCTTCATGACTTTTTTTTTTTCCCTTAGATTCCACATATATGTGTTAGCATACGGTATTTGTTTTTCTCTTTCTGACTTACCTTACTCTGTATGACAGACTCTAGGTCCATCCACCTCACTACAAATAACTCAATTTCATTTCTTTTTATGGCTGAGTAATATTCCATTGTATATATGTGCCACATCTTCTTTATCCATTCATCCGATGGTGGACACTTAGGTTGCTTCCATCTCCTGGCTATTGTAAATAGAGCTGCAATGAACATTTTGGTACATGACTCTTCTTGAATTATGGTTTTCTCAGGGTATATGCCCAGTAGTGGGATTGC